TATAAAGTACGTAAACTCAGCCATCAGAAATGTAAAGTGCGTGTAAACTCAGCCATCGCGTGTAAACTCAGCCATCAGTATGTAAAAGTGCGTGTAAACTCAGCCATCAGAATGTAAAGTGCGTGTAAACTCAGCCATCAGTATGTAAAGTGCGTGTAAACTCAGCCATCAGTATGTAAAGTGCGTGTAAACTCAGCCATCAGAATGTAAAGTGCGTGTAAACTCAACCATCAGTATATAAAGTGCGTGTAAACTCAGCCATCAGTATGTAAAGTACGTGTAAACTCAACCCTCAGTATATAAAGTGCGTGTAAACTCAGCCATCAGTAAGTAAAGTGCGTGTAAACTCAGCCATCAGTATGTAAAGTGCGTGTAAACTCAACCATGAGAATGTAAAGTGCGTGTAAACTCAGCCATCAGTAAGTAAAGTGCGTGTAAACTCAGCCATCAGAATGTAAAGTGCGTGTAAACTCAGCCATCAGTATGTAAAGTGCGTGTAAACTCAGCCATCAGTATGTAAAAGTGTGTAACTTCAGCGTATCAGTATGTAAAGTACGTGTAAACTCAGCGATTAGTATGTAAAGTGCGTGTAAACTCAGCCATCAAGTATATACAGTGCGTATAAACTCAACCATCAGTATAAAGTGCGTGTAAACTCAGCCATCAGTATATAAAGTGCGTGTAAACTCAGCGATCAGTATGTAAAGTGCGTGTAAACTCAGCCATCAGTATAAAGTGCGTATAAAATCAACCGTCAGTATGTAGAGTGCGTTTAAACTCAGCCATCAGTATAAAGTGCGTGTAAACTCAGCCATAAGAATGTAAAGTGCGTGTAAACTCAGCTAAAGGGTTAAAGTTGGCGGGGAAATTATACGAAAGTGTCATTGGGAGCCAGGAAGTACTCCGTCAACAGGAAGTACCCAGGATCTCCACCACTACCTACACGTACAGTACATTCCGAGAGAGAGAGAGAGAGAGAGAGAGGGGTGAGGTAAAGAGAGAGAGGTAGCGAAGGGAGAAAGCTATAGGGAAAGAGGTGGCCATAGGAAGAGAGGTGGCCATAGGGTGGAAGGTGGGAACAGGGAGCTATAGGGAGAGAGATGTAGCAAGGCAGAGAGAAGAACCATCTACTGCGCAATAACAGGTGCCCAGGACGAACCCAGATTTGAGATAGCGAAATTTTGTTTTCCCGAGACAGCCAGCCAGCCAGCCAGCCAGCCAGCCAGCCAGCCAGCCAGCCAGACTCGTGATGGTAGTGGTGGGGTTCACGCCTCACCTCACCACCCACTGCGTTCTACCCTCGTACACAAAGGACAATACCAAGTGTCTTATGATGCTTGATATCGTTGAAGACTTACAAACAGCAAAGTTTTTTTACATAGCAAGAATCTTTAAAAAAAAAGTATAACCTATATACATATGAAATGGGTTTAATTGGTTGATATATAAATTTATATTGGGATATTTTGTACTATTTATATGTCTGCTGATGACCTAAATTCATATCTAAACCTGTGATATAGAAAAAATTTGATCCATCTGTATTTTCATCCATCCACCAATCTCTCTCTCTCTCTCTCTCTCTCTCTCTCTCTCTCTCTCTCTGCTATTACCATCATATTTTGCATCTCTTTCTCCATTGATTAATATTAACTAATCTTTTATTATTCTTTTTTCTTTATGCTATTTGTTATTATATCTTTCTCGTCTTTCCTTTTCTTTACTAGTTCTTTATTATTTATTATGTTCCTGTTTCTTCTTTCATCTTATCAATATATAACAATAAATCATCAAATGTTCAGTTCAGGATTAATTTACCTTACACTGAGCTGACTTGTGGCCTTATGCTGTACGACTAGGCTACAGGTTTTTGTTTAATTTTTTTTTACCTTTTATAATGCATTTTATGGCGTTAAAGTCATTTTTAAGGGATTTTATGGTGTTAGGGGCCTTTTAGGGATTTTATGGTGTTTGGGGCCTTTAAGGGATTTAATTTGCGTCAATGTCCGTTTTAAGGGATTTTATGGCACCAAGAACTTTAAGGGATTTAATGGCGTTACTTGATAAGGGAGTTTATGGCGCTAAAGGTTAAACAATCCAAACACGTGTATTTTAAGTTGGTGTTTCGTGCTGTACTGTGCTGTTTTGTGCTGTGCTGTTCTGTGCTGTGTTGTGTGTGCGACGATATTTTAATGTGCTATACTTTATTATTTAAAAGTCCTATTGATACTCCTTGTAATTCATGGAAATAATTTGTTTGTGCTAGAAATAAATTGGTCATTACATCACGGACGGTATTAATAGTCAGTCTACATCACGGACGGTATTAATAGTCAGTCTACATCACGGACGGTATTAATAGTCAGTCTACATCACGGACGGTATTAATAGTCAGTCTACATCACGGACGGTATTAATAGTCAGTCGCTACATCACGGACGGTATTAATAGTCAGTCTACATCACGGACGGTATTAATAGTCAGTCTACATCACGGACGGTATTAATAGTCAGTCTACATCACGGACGGTATTAATAGTCAGTCTACATCACGGACGGTATTAATAGTCAGTCTACATCACGGACGGTATTAATAGTCAGTCGACATCACGGACGGTATTAATAGTCAGTCAGTAATATTACTCACTAGTTAAATACGTTGTTAGTCATTACACAGTGGAAACAACAAGTGAATCAGTTTTTGGTGGAATAAAAAAAAAATCTTGAATTCCGGCATTGTTTTTGTCTTGGTCTCAGAGGGCGTGAGTCTTCGAGTATTCTCAGTGATGCTCATCTGCCCTCCTGCACATCTACCTACCTGCCCATCTACCCCCCTGCCCATACCCCACTCCTCCTGGCTCGGTGATGCCCGCCTGCCCACGCATAATGACTCAAAGTAATTAGGTCTTTCCTCACAATGACATACCCCGAGCGAAACTAACGCGTGACGCTGAGTGAGGTAGTGTGTGTGAGTGTGAGTGTGTGGGTGTGTGTGAGTGTGTGGGTGTGAGGTGTGTGGGTGTGTGTGTGTGTGTGTCCCCACTGGTCGTGATGGACGTTATGAGTCACTATTTAGATTGATTGACTGAATGTATAACTGACTGAAATTTTTGACACTGATTGCCTAACTGGACTGACAAACTTATCAACTGATTGACTAAACTACCTGACTTGTTGATCCACTTATTACCTGACTGGTCTTATTCCCTCTTCCAACTGCTGGACATCTGAAGTCATGAATCAACGAAACTAATGATCTTTCGGAGGTAATTTGTGTCTGATTGTCGCTTATTGACAACTGTTAGGTTAGGTTCTCAAGTGATTTGTGTGTTATTGTGGTGTGTTGACAGCTGTTTGTGATTGTCTGTCTGTCTGAGATGAATTGTGTTGATAATATCTGAAGGCAGAACTTGTTGTTGAGGTGATGTATTGAGCATCATTGTTTACCTGTCAGTCGTGCAGGTAAGACTTCCTTTACGTGTGTGTGTGTGTGTGTGTGTGTGTGTGTGTGTGTGTGTGTGTGTGTGCGTGTGTGTGCGTGACATTTATTTTCTTCCAATTGTTCATGATAACCTTTAAGTAGATGTAGAGATGTCTCTTGACACACACACACACACACACACGTGAGCGTAAATATTTTAAAAGGTTTTCGTTAACACTACAGGAACAGCCAATTAAGATGTCAAAAGCAACTCGGAGGAAACTTAATAACAACTGAAGCAACACCTTGTTAAGACTCTTCACACACAATAATGATATAAACAATCTTCCAGGTATTACAGCTCAGCCTAAGAAATATTTCGTCCATAAGTGTAGAGAACGGGACCATGTTGGCCCACCTGTCATGAGAAACAGTTACGTAATAGTGAACATTTTTACGGTTGTGTCATGTTGAGGAGGTCGTGTGTCAGGCAGCCTACGCACCTAATGAGCCCAGAGCAGGTGTTAGGATTAGGTTCAGTAGGATTGGAGATCTTTCAGGATTAAGGTGGATTAGGATTCGAATGTACTAAAAATGGTAATCCCTTATTATAGGAATTTACTCGGACGGAATATCAAGGTAATGGTTGAGTTAGTAAGTGACTCATTAAGTACTAAGGCGTCGTGATGGTGTATTTTGTCGTAAGGTTTAACTCCCTCCCCCAAACCTCTGTACTCCTCCTTCTCCTGGCCGCCTCCTTCCCTTGGTCTCCCCTTCGCCGGCTTCTCCCTTCCCCTGGCCGCCCCCTTCCCCCGGCTTCCCCTTCCCTGGCTTCCTTCCCCTGGCTGCCCCTTCCCCGGCTTCCCCTGGCTTCCCTTCCCCCGGCTTCCCCCTTCCCCCGGCTTCCCCGGCTTCTCCCTTCCCCTGGCTGCCCCCTTCCCGGCTTCCCTGGCTTCCCCTTCCCCTCTTCCCCGGCTCTTCCCTTCCTGGCCTCCCCTGATCTCCTTTGCCCACCCCCTCCCCCTGGCCTTTCCCTCCGGCTTCTCCCCTGCCCCCTACTCCTCCTCTTAATAAATTGATAACAGAACATTAAACACAGTGATTCAAGGCGGCAGCTCATGGGAGTCTGAGTGTCAAGTCTACTGTCTCTTTATGTTTTATACGAGGGAGGGAAGACTTCTGTGGCACGTTGAGCGATTTCGGAATATAGGTGTGCCTTATTGTACTGCCTGTGTGATGTTGTGGAGTTCTGCAATGTTGTAAAACTCCGTGTGAGCGCTGGAGAGTTGTGACCTTATGGTGTGAGGTGAGCGGCCAGATACCGAGGCCGGACGCGTCAGGTCTGGAGGATGTGCCTGGCCGTCATCCTTCATGTTGGTCTTTGTGTTGCATCTTTGAGGACTCCCACCGGGTTCTCCCCACCAGGTCTTCCTACTTGGACTTCTACACCATCTACTAGTGGTGGCTCTAGCTTCTCGTGACGTCACGTCTAAAAGTGGCACCGAAGAACCGAGCAGCGCCGACGAGCGCCGAGTGCCAAGCAGGGGGGGCCCTCTGACTTGCACCACCATTTCGCCCCGACAACTTCGGCGGCGAGGGTGTGCTAAATGGGGCTGCCTGACTCACGGGCCGCAAGCATATTATAATCCTCTCGCTTTATTATGCTCGCAGTCCACTAGTCAGAGGCACTTGTCGAATATTCACGACCCCGTCTTGACTCTGCAGTTGTGCTCTAGTCCTTCATAGTCATCCAGTGTTTGGTGCACCATCAGTGTATCTTTTGTGTTAAACTTCGACCACCACCGCAATAATGTCTCAGCAGCAGCACGTGGTGAAGCAGAGCACCTCGACGCAGCAATCCAGCAGCAGCGTCAGCATGCAGCAGTCGAGAGTGCAGCAGCAGACACAAGTGCAGACCCACACCGTCCGCGAAGGTAGGCCTAAGCTTCCTGCAGGACAGTTACCACCGCCTCACCTGCTAACTAATGCTCCGCGGCTGCTTCAAGTCATCTACCTAAGTGCTATTGTGTGTGTGTGAGCTTCGCGTGTGACAAGCCAGTGTCAAGCTGCTGTTGTATCAGTGTTTTTGGTGCCCAGGGTATAAACACCCAGGTTGGCCGCACAAGAGAAAATATTGTGCTCAGTGAAAGTGTTGAACTGTCCCAGGAACATACGAGAAAGTGGACAAAGTGCGAGGGAAGTTACAAGTGTGTGTGGACAAGTGTAGGGGCGCGGGCCTGGTGGTGTGTGGGGGACGGGGATACACAGGTGTGGGAGTCCTGCCTCACCGCCCACTATGTCCACACCCACATACCTCTTGTAGATACACCTGTTGCCTTTACGAACACCTCATAGTATAACGAGCACCTCAAAATTTTTTCCATATTAGAATTATCCATCTAACCAACACCCTTTTCCTGTTGTGTGGTGGGCGAGCAGAGTTTACCCCCCTGTCCCTTGCTCCCGGCCCCCCGCCCCCACCGGCACGCGCCAAAAATACCCATTGGCCCTCTACCGGCGCACCCGCAGCTCAGCGCCCCGTATCGGGTATCACGGTGCCTTGCCCCTGTGTAGGAAAATCTAGAAGAAATCTTTGGAGATGATGTGTTGTGATGTCTTAGATTATCGAGGAGGAACAGAACTTGTCACAGGACGATGCTGTGTGTGTTCCTCCCGTTACACAACACACCTATCACGGCCGTCTTTCACACCTACCAATACTGTTATAAAACCCTTTGTTCCTCATGCAACATTATAAACATTACAACATTACATATCCATCTCTGAAAGCGTCCAACATGCATAACACCCGACGAACAGTCTCACGCGCAACCTCTTAGTAACGGAGGTAAATATTAAAGATACATTGTGGTGAACACACACACACACACATACACGTAGCGTCATTCACCATTTTATATATATATATATATATATATATATATATATATATATATATATATATATATATATATGTGGTTGCTCAGACCTACTCCTGGTCAGGCGCCGAGGCGACTACACATGTTGGTGGTGGTGGCTAACACACTGCCTCCACTTCTGCAATCTACCTTCTACTCCCCACGAGCCTTCTACCTCCACCCCACCCACTTCATCTTTCACCTCCACCCCACCCATACTACCTCTGCACCCTACCCACACTACCCACCCCACCCACTCTACCTTCACTTCCACCCACTCTACTCCACTCCAATCTAATTTGATCTCCACTCCACGCACTTACCTCTACCTCCACACACACTACTCCACCCCCACCCATACCATTCCACTCCACCCATACTACCTCCACTCCACCCACTCTACCTCCACTCCACCTACTCTACCTCCACCCCACCCATACTATCTCCACTCCACGCACTCTACCACCACCTCCACACACTCTACCCCCACCCCACCCATACTATCTCCACTCCACACACTCTACCACCACCTCCACACACTCTACCCCCACCCCACCACACCCTCATGACCACCTCAAACACACCTCATCACATAATTGACTACTATATCCCAAACACATACAAGCTGGTGGCAGGGAAAGGAGGGACTGTGTCTATAGTCAAGTTCGACACCTTAACTCTAATAACTGTGTTGCCCCATACAAGACTCTTTAATACCTTTACACCGTGGATATACAATCAAAACCCTTATACTTGTAAAGGCTGTTATGGTATTTATTTTTTACACAACTCTGCCAATGTTATAAACAGTTTAGTACGAGGGAATATTTTCACCGTGATATTTATTTTATATTGAGTTGATCTTCGCTTATTTGTAGGAATATTTGAGTATTAATGTACAGTGATTTAGGTACAATAAAAGTTGATAATTTTTCCCCTAGGCGTTAACAAAATACAAAATCTAACCTAACCTAACCTAACCTAACCTAACCTATATATATATATTACTAGATGAAGAAATGAAAAGAACAGGACCCAGCGTCTAGCCTTTAGGTACACATCTTCGTGCCCAGCGTAGTGTAGCAGTCAGCAGCGTGTGTATCTGTATCATGGCTGGTTATACACTCTCCTTCCTTCCTTCCTTCCTTCCTTCCTTCCTTCTTTCTCCTTCCTCTTTTACACGTCTACATTCTTCTTCAGTCTTTTTGTTTTACTTTTCTTCTTCTTTTCTTCCTTCTTCTTCTTCCTTCTTCCTCCTCCTCTCCCCAACGCCTCCTCCTTCTTCTCTTGACACACACACACACACACACACACACACACACACACACACACAGACATTTTTACTGCTTCTGGTCTCTTCAGGTTGGCCAAACACTAGCCTCTTTTTTTTTTAGTTCAGGTATCATCTTGGGTTGACTCTTTGTTTTTTCGTATTTACTCTTTTTGTTTAGTTCGTGTTATTGAGGTCTTTAGGCCCGTGTTATTGAAGTCCTTTTGTTTAGTCTTCGTGTTATTGAGGTCTCTTAGTCTGTGTTATGAGGTCTTTTGGTTTAGTCTGTGTTATTGAGGCCTTTTGTTTAGTCTGTGTTATTGAGTTCCTTAGTTCGTGTTATTGAAGTCTTTGTTTAGTCTTCGTGTTATTGAGGTCTTAGTCTGTGTTATGAGGTTTAGTTCGTGTTATTGTGGTCTTTAGTTCGTGTTATTGAGGTCTTTTGTTTAGTTCGTTGTGTTATTGGAGGTCTTAAGTTCGTGTTATTGGAGGTCTTTTTGTTTAGATCGTGTTATTGAAGTCTTTTTGTTTAGTCTTGCCAGTTATTGGAGGTCTTTAGTTCGTGTTATGAGGTCTTTTGTTTAGTTCAAGTTATTGAAGTCTTTGTTTAGTTCGTGTTATTGGAGGTCTTTAGTTCGTGTTATTGAGGTCTTTGTTTGCCCGTGTTATTGAGGTCTTTTTGTTTAGTCGTTATTGAAGTCTTAGTTCGTGTTATTGAAGTCTTTTGTTTAGTCTGTGCTATTGAGGTCTTAGTTCGTGTTATTTATAGTCTTTTTTGTTTAGTTCAAGCTATTGGAGGTCTTTTGTTTAGTTCGTGTTATTGAGGTCTTTTGTTTAGTTCGTGTTATTGAGGTCTTTTGTTTAGTTCGTGTTATTGAGGTCTTTAGTTCGTGTTATTGAGGTCTTTTGTTTAGTTCGTGTTATTGAGGTCTTTTGTTTAGTTCGATTTATTGAGGTCTTTTGTTTAGTTCGTGTTATTGAGGTCTTTTGTTCGTGTTATTGAGGTCTTTTGTTTAGTTCGTGTTATTGTGGTCTTTTGTTTAGTTCGATTTATTGAGGTCTTTTGTTTAGTTCGTGTTATTGAGGTCTTTTGTTCGTGTTATTGAGGTCTTTTGTTTAGTTCGTGTTATTGAGGTCTTTTGTTTAGTTCGTGTTATTGAGGTCTTTTGTTCGTGTTATTGAGGTCTTTTGTTTAGTTCGTGTTATTGAGGTCTTTTGTTTAGTTCGTGTTATTGAGGACTTTAGGTCGTGTTATCGAGGTCTTTTGTTTAGATCGTTTAATTGAGGTCTTTTGTTCTTCTGTCAATAGTTAAAATATATTAGGAGTATATTTTCTATTGTTATTATTGCTTTTATTATTTTGGTCTTACTTTTGTTACTGTTAATGTTTTATTGTTATTGTCATTATTTTTATTATTTTTTTTATATTGTTACTATTTTTATCATTTTATTATTATTATTATAACTACTTTTGGCATTACTTTTCTTTGTAATTAGTTGAGGTATTATTATTCATATTTTTTTTACATTTCTATAAGTAATTTTCATTGAATTATTATTATTATTATTATTATTATTATTTCCGTGAGAGGTAGTTAGGGCCTCCTGTCAGGTCTCCCCCTTACAGGAAGTAAACAGTAGAGGCGCCATGTTAACCTGTGAAAATAACCCCGTGTTTGGTAAGGGCCAGTAGGGGTGTGGGGGAGGTGCAGGGGAGGTACTGGTGTGTGTAGGGGGTGTTGGCAGGGAAAATTTGTGGCAGGTTTAAGGTTGGGGAATGTTAGTGGGTGCGTGTTTAAGTGTGGCGGGGAATGTTAGGGCGTGTGTATGTGTGTAGGTGTGGGTGTGGTGGGGAAATACTGTAGAGGGATGATGGCAGGGAAAATTATGGCATGTAGGATGGGGGATTGTTAGTGGCGTGTATAAAGGTGGCAGGGAAATTATAGCACGGTTAGGATGGAGGAACGACAGGGAATTTTCCGGGCTGTGTGAGGGTGGTGGGGAAATCCTGGTGTGTATAGGGGAGTGTTGGCAGGGAAATTCTATTGAGGGGTCAAAGAGATGGTGGGCATGGGTAAGGAGGCAGGAAGAGCGTGGATAGGAAGCAAGAGGTCGTGGGTAGGAGGCAGGAGTGGCGTGGGTAGTAGTCAGGGTGCGTAGGAAGGGTGTACATACTGTAGGAGACGTGAACAGGAAGCAGGAAAAGCGTGGGTAGGAAGCAGAAGAGCGCAGGTAGGAAGCAGGAGGGGCGTGGGTTGGTGACAGGAGGGGTGGGGGCAGGTCTCGTGCCTCGGAAATACCAACACACACCGCTACCAGTAATATCCTGCCGGGGGCGCGGGCGGGGAGGGGGGGGGGATCATCTTCACCTGTGGGAAAGCATCACTGTCTGGGAAAATGTCTCAAACTTGGGATTAAATTTTTGGGATCTCATGAACATTAGGAACAGCTGATGATTATACACCTCATCCTAACCTAACCTAACCCGCTTTAGCATCAGGGTGTTTAATCATCAGGTGAAATAAGCAAGAGTTTCTTCCTCCTAGTCATCCTGAGTCCACAAACTCTGTATATAGATATAGTAACTTGTGTTCATCCACAGAGCAGGAAAATACGATCATCAGTGGGACAAACTTATCACAGTGAAAAGAAATGAGAGAATTAGCCGTAACGTAATAGAATCGTGTTGCCTGTGTGAGCCCATCCAGGGAACTGACCTTATCGTTCATCATAACATCCAGACCAC